GCAAACATGTTGAAAAATCTCCAAAAAAAAAAAGATTCACTGTAGCCAAATGCAGCCTCTCACAACAATGCTAACGGGTACTCTGATGCTGATGGTTACCTGGTGGGGAAGCCTGTACTACAAGGGCCCGTCCTCTAAAAGATAATTCTGATTTTTTTGGGTCCTCCTTGTATAATATATTTTCAAATAGCGAGAGAGAGAGAGAGAGAGAGACTATTGAATGTACTCAACCCAAATGAATGATAAATGTTTGAAATGCTAATTACCATGTACAGTGAATGTATTAAACCATCACCCCAAAACACGCACTATTTTGTGCAAATTATAAAATAATTTAAAAGTAACAATAAAAATTGAATTCAAAATAAAATTAAGTCACTCAGTCACACTTCCCACATGTCATGTGTTCAACAATCATGTGTGGCTTGTGGCGCTGGAGAAAGAGAACATTGTTACCATCTCAGGAAACTAAGTAGGGCAGTGCTGCTTTATAGACTTTTGCCTCAACATAAATGATCTGTTAACACAGATTTCACTTTCTTGTTATAAATTTAAATATAATGTTTTTGTTTTACTTGTGGACAAAGATGAACAGACAGGTGCAAAAAATAAATCCTCTTTTGCAACCCAGAACTCATTGTTCAGTATGAGTTTTGATACATAGAAGAAGGAATATTACGATACATGATACCTCAGCCAGTTTATTGTGATGGGCGTATTGGTAACCATGAGGATTGGTTTCGGGACTGGAGAATTGATAATTACAAAACATAGGACATAGGGTGGTGGTGGTGGCTACATTTAGTATTCCAATTTCATGATATATCAAGATGGCTGTTTTTTTTATGGCTTTTTTGAGAACATGTCTGAAGTTGAAGGTATTGGCATATTCTGCTGATCTGTACTATCGACTGATAGCTTAGGAATGACTGACTTGAACTCGTTCATGTTTAGAGGATGTCTAATTGAGAAGCAGATACATCATCCACTCTAGAAACCTAAAAACGAAGACGAAAACAGTTACCTATGCTTCCAGAAGGTCAGGATCATCATCACTGTCCACGTTCGTATCTTGTCACACTGGAAGGTCTTCAAGGGCTTACAGGACAGTCATGGAATAAGCATCAATCCTACTTTAAAAGGGCTATCTTGAAGATAAATTCTGACTCCAACTTTAGAAGAATCTGACCTTCATGAAAAGTAGAAGAAATTATGACATGCGAAAGCTGTATTTTAAAATTTTTAATGTTATACAGACAATAAAACTCTGCACTGTTTGTAGAAAGTCAACAACAACAAAAAAATTTAAATATAGATTAAACTTTTTATATCACAAAGTGTTTTTTTTTTGTTTGTTTTTTTTTTGAGTTGGAGTCTGACTCTGTCGCCCAGACTGGAGTGCAGTGGCCGCTCCCGGCCACCGCAGCCTCGACCTGCTGGGCTCCGGCGATCCTTCCGCCTCAGACTTCCAAGTAGCCGGAATTACAGGCATGCGCTACCACACCCAGCTGATTTTTTGATTTATTGTAGAGATGAGGTCTCGCTGCCCAGGCGGGTCTCGAACCCGCGGGCTCAGGTAATCCACCCACCTCAGCCTCCCAAAGGCGCGGGATTACAGGCTGAGCCACCGAGCCCGGCTCAAAGTGTTTTTTTAAAGTGAGAAAGCAGGATTTATTAAGAGGACAGAAAAGCTCCCACAGTGGGAGGGGACCCTAGGGGATTGCCCACAATGTGCTTTTTATACTTGAGTTGTTTTGTTGATAGTTTCCGTTTAGTTACAGCAATATACTTTCTCTGAAAGATTTTTTTAAAAATTACATTCTAATTTTTTTTTTTATCATGGAAAGAGTTTCTATTTTTTTGGTACCTCAGTCCTTCTCCCTGAGTGTTTCACTAGCACCTTGTCTTTGGGCCTGCCCGTGCAGTCCATTTAACTGACTGATGTGGACTGTTGGGGAGGAAAAACTTTCTCTGCCCTCTTACATTGCTCTTCTGAGGGTCTGTGAATTAAGTTAACAAAAGATGGACCAAAGACAGAGATTATGGAGTCTTAATGCAGTCAAAGGCCTTTAACTGAGATGAGAAGTCCAGTTAGGCAGAGTAGCTGATTTGTAAGGTCAACTCAGTGGTGAGCACACAAGGTCACAGGTAGGACATAACTGGGGATCCTTACCTCTTTTGACCCCTTTTACTTGGGTAGCCTCCTGTTGACTAGTGACAGTTTAAGCTCCAGGTCTTCTGGTCGTCTTTCTCAGAAACTTCAGGTTTCCACCTCCTCCCACCACCTGTCACTCTTCTTCCTGAGGGCTTCTGGGTTTTTTTTTCCACAGAGAGACCATGGTGGGGGGGGGCGGGGAACGGGGACAACTGAAGTCTTGAGCAGATCAGAATTTCTGCTTGTTTTAGGATGGAGAGACAATCATGTTATGTAAACAGGACACTATGAAAGTCAAACACAGCTAGGGAGAGCTCACTGTTATGACAGCTTTGCAAGGCTTCCTTGTTATTTCTACATGCATAGGGACACATCCATGGTCACTGTGAAGTGCAGCAAGCAGATGTCAGATGAACAAGTCACTCAAATGACTCCCATCAGTGTGCCTTATGCCTAATGCAATCAAGGATTTTAAAATAGTTTGTTCCTTTTCTTGTTGCTATCTATCAAGTGTTAATAATCAGGGTTTATGGAAGTAGTTTCTATACAGCTTAAAAATAAACTTTTACTTTTAGAATCGTTTTGATTTATAAGAAGGCTGTGAAGTTCTTGCAGAGAATTCCCTTATACTCTATACTCAATTTATTCTATTATGAGCATATTCCATTAATATGGCACATGTGTCGAAATTAATGAACCAATACTGACACACTACTGTCATCATTTTATTTTTAGTTGTTATATAAATATTGCATATATTTATGAATTTTGATGCATGTATACATTACCTAATGACTAAATCAAGCTAATTAAGATATGCATTACCTCACATATTTTTTGTGGTGAGACAAAATCCATTCTCTTAGCTATTTTCAGGTGTAGAATATAAATTTAGGAGCAATAATGAACACTATGCACAATAGATCTCCTCAACTGACTCCTTCTATCTGGCTGAAATGTGTGTCCTTTGACCAACACCTCCACAATCTGCCCACTCCCAAACCTCTGGTCACCACCATTTTGCTCTCTGTTTCTGTGGTACATTATCATGAACTAAAACCTATATTTATTCAGTTTTCTGTAACTTGTACCTTATACACTTTCTCTGCTCTGGGATCCCATTTCTGACACCACATTATAGTCAGTCTTCGTGTTTTCTAGGACTCCTCTTGTCCATGATAGTCTCTCAGAATTTATTTTTTATAACATTGGCAAGTTAGAGAAGTACTGAGCAGGTATTGTATTTTGCAAAATGTCCCTCACTTGAGACTTGTTAGATGTTTTTTTCCCTGGGGTTAGAGGATTTGGGGAGAAAGAACTCAGCAGTAAACTGTCCTTGTCATCACATATCAAGGGTACATACTGACTACATGACTTATCCCTGTGAATCTTTATCTTGGTCACCTGACCGAGGTAGTGTCTGTCAGATTTCTACATGGTAAGGTTCCTTTTTTCTCTTTGGAAGTCATGATGCACAAGCCACACTTCAGATGTGGGGAGTGAGGCCTTCTTCTTAAGGGTAGACAACATAAATTGTTTGCAATGTCTCAGTTCATTCAGACTGCTTTAATAAAATACCTTAGACTGGGAACTTTATAGAAATAGAAAATTGTTTCTCAAAGTTCTGGAGGTTGGGCAGTCAAAGATGAAGGCGCCAGCGCTTTGGTGTCTGCTGAGGGCTGCTCTCTGCTTCTAGATGACACTTTTTTGCTGCATCGCCACATGGTGGAAGACGTGAGCACTATCCTCAAAAGGCAGAAGGGGCAAACTTGCTCCCATCTGCCTCTTTCAGAAGGGCGAATACCAATCATGAGGGTGGGGCACTCAAGACTGAATCCTTTTTCCAAGGTCCCACCTCTTAATACTGTCACATTGGGGATCATATTTCAACATATGAGTGTGGGGGAAACATCCACATTCCGACCATGGCAGAAACCTTAAGCATGGGAGATCATTCAATTCTCCCCAGTTATTTATTTATTCAATTGTTTATGAACATGGACTCACTGGTTCATGATGTGCTATGTGTTATGATCCAATACCACTTTGCTTGGTTGCTAGACAGTTGGAATGTTGCCCATTTTTTCCCTCCATGCCTTGTTTTACATGCACCTTGTTGAAATGACAGGGTTTCTCATTTGATATCCCTTTACCCATGCATGTATTCATCTAACAAGCACTGACTAACACAATCCCCGGCTCCCATAGTTGACCTATCTCTCCTGCCAATACTCCAATAATCCCTGTCCAGAGCTCTCTTTTTTCCCTGCTCTGCTGCCTTCATCATTCTCAGGGAACTTCCTTACAAGTCTTGGAATTGAAATCTGACCTCCTAAAAATATCCCTGGATGAACACTCATCAGTGAACCACCATGCTTGGGGACCATTGAGACTCAGGACTCTGGTCATGCCTCCAAGAGCCCCTAACCACTCATGGGGAGTACACAGAGAGAAAGCAAAAGAAACAGCCCCTTATTTCATCAGGTTGATTCTTGGGCATTCTTAGAGTCCCCCCCACTCCAGCAATAGTGAAAGAGGGCAATGGGCGGCAAAGTGTGAAGGAATAGATGTGGGGAGAATTGGACAGAACAGAGTTGAATAACAGGCAGAGCTGAGCTGAGCTGGTGGCCCTCATCCAGGTCTAGCTCTCCCTCCCTCCGTGGCCTGCAGAGCCCTCCCTCTCAGGCCATCTTACTTCCCCAACAAGGCATTGACTTCCGCAGTTCTTCCAGTTCACACTCGCTGGGAAGCTGGGACAGAACTAGATCCAGCTTCCGATTCTCACTACTCAGAGGGATCGCCTTTGTCTCCTCTTCTCCACTATCAGTAACAGGCTAGGGGTGGCATGGCCTGGGGTGGGCTGCAACTGCTGCTGCTCCTTGTGATGCTGGTGCTCCTGGCCTCAGGTGACATGGAGGGGTAGAGTGCAGAGGGCTGTAAGGATTGGGAAGAGGAACAAGGGTGGGCTGGGGTGCCTGGTGGGCCTGTAACCAGAGGACTGGTTTTGGAGGCCTTGTTTTGGGTGTGGGCATCAGAAGTTGTTCCCTTTCCCTTTTCCCCAGCTCTGGGAAAGGAGAGGTTGGGTTCAGCCAGGACTCTGATCTGAGGGTTCCTTATGCAGGTTCCCAGGGAAAGGTTGTGCCCGAGGAACTTCATGAAGTACCAGGACAGACACTCTTACTGCAATGCCAGTACTCGCCCAAGAAAGGATCGTATGTGCGCAAAGCCTGGTGCCAGCAGACATCTCCAAATAGATGTAACATATTGATCACCAGCTCCAAGCCCCGGACAGCAGCTCAGGCAACTCGATACACAATCTGGGATGAGACAACCGCTGGTTTTTTCAACATCACCATGAGTGATCTGACAGAGGAGGACTCTGGATCCTACTGGTGTGGAATCTACAATTCTTCCCAAAACTTCATCACTGTTCTCAGAAACATCAGCCTGGTGGTGGCTCCAGGTGAGTTATTTTCTTGAGGAAATACCCCTGCCACCCCGGTGACCTGGAAGAAATATGACCCACTCCTTTCTATTCCTCTACCACCCACATCCTTCCAGGTTTTCTGCTCTGATCTGAGGGGAGTAAGGACCCTGTACTCAGAAACTGGCTCTCACCTTTACTTCATCATGACTATCCTGGCCTCAGTCTCTCTTTTTCCTACACAAGCACACCTACAACTCTTCTACACACACACACACACACACACACACACACACACACACACACACACACACACACACAACTCTGGTACGCAGACTTTAGGTACAGAGCACTCCAAGTCTAAGGGATCCTGAGGAACTGGTTCTGGGCTCCCTATTGCCTCTCACAGTTTGAGACCAAACCCCATTCTCTCTTCTGAGAATCATTGTCTCCTCTGTTTTCTCTTTAGCCCCAACCACTTCTATGTGGACTCACGCCTGGTTCCCGACAAAGACAGGTAGGTTTGGGGTTTTGGTGGAGTGAGAAAAAGAGGATGGCCAGGCAGCTTAGGAGTCTTAGAAAGAGGGCTGGAGAAACCAGAGGGGGCCTGCTTCTGAGGGTTGATCATCCGGGGCCAGGACTGGTGGGTGGGAATCTCCCTCCAGGGCTTGCTGGGCTTAGGACTTTGGGAGATACACATGCACCATTTGAACTGATCATGAAGATTGCCAAGTTCTTACTATGATGCACTCCATACCCCAAGAGGCAAGCCTGAATGAAAGACCTTTAATGTGTGTATCCCAACACTGCCCTTTGAGGTCCACTCTTAATCTTGATCTGAGATCTCAGTTACCCTTGACTTAAGGGATCCTAAGGAGCTGGCTCTGTCCCTTCTCCATTTCCTCCCACAGTTTTTGGACTCAATCCCATTCTCTATTCTGGTTCCATGGACAGCCACTGTCTTCTTTTTGTCCTCCCTAGCTCTGATCACTTCTCCAGAGGGGACCTCTGGCCCTACTTTCATCAATAGCTCTGAGACAAGGTAAGTCAGGGGTTTACCAGAAGGAGTGGCCTGGGAAGGTATGACTTTGCAGCTCATGCAGCCTCAGAATAAGGATTCTCTTCAGGATGGTTGGGGCATAGGGCACTACCAGAAGCATCCAGTCCCAGACTAAAGGTAGGTAGAGAAGAAGAAAGGGGGAGAGGATGCAGGTCATTAACTTTGGAGATACTATAGAAAAGACAGTTAAACATGGATTCTGGAATGAAACAAAATAAAAGTCAGGAAATGTGGGAACTAGAGGCTGTGATGGTGAGTGCTGAAGGGTGGGTGTGGAAAAAGTGACTAAATCCTGGGGCCAATGATGCTGGAGATGTCAGCCATAAAAACGTGAGAGGAATGCTTTTAAATCCTGCTCCTAACCTTGCAGTCATGAGTTTTGAGGCCACCTTCACCTTAGAAATAGGCTGCAATAGTCTAAGTCACAGGCTCTCTGGGAGACCATGAGACACAGGAAAAGCAGTGAGGAATTAATGAAAACAAATGACCAGTTGCCTATGAGCATTTGCTCCCTGACACTCTTCTGGGAGTTTAAGGGTGAAACCATAACCAGAAGACAAGAATGGCAGCTAATGAGGGTACCTTATGCTCTGGAGCTTCTCCCTCTAATTTTTAATACTCACTAGGTAGAGGATTTAGCTTTCAGTTCTTCCCCATTACCAGACTGGGTATCTGACACTCCTAGAGGACTCTGAAGTCACAAACCAAAATAACTAGGCATTTTAGAAGAACTACTACCTTAAAAAAATGACAATACACTCCATGATAGAAGCTTGTGAAGTGGATCTATGGACACTGATGGCAGAACAATTCTAGGTAAATATGATCAGTCTAGAGGGGTGAGCGGAGACAGAAGCTATGTGGATTAAGACTACTTTCAGAGCCAGGCTCAGTGTCACATCCCTGTGATTCCAGTTGTTTGGGAGCCCAAGGCAGGAAGATTGCTTGAGCCCAGTTACTCAAGACCAGACTGGGCAAAATAGTGAGTCTTCATTTCTATGAAAATGTAAAAGAAAAGAAAATAACTACTTTTGGAATTTGATTGCTTAAATGTATGTGATTGAGCTCAGAAAAAATACCCCCCAAAATAGGACTTAGCAGTAACCTCAGAAATAAGTATTTTCTCTGACCTTTTTGTCATCTACTCTCTCAGTCCCATCCTCTCCCAAGATTAGTTATATAAACTAGAACCCCTCTTTACTGAGGTTGTCATACAAATTGGAGCCCATGTTTCCCAAAGACAGTCATAAAACCTAAAAATATTCGTAAAAACCTAAAAATATTTGTAGATCAGATAAAGAAATTATCTGACCTACCTTGATTCACTGTAAGTCATAAGACCCCCTTTCCAGAGAGGGCCCTACCCCATACCCAGAAGGAAGGAATTCATGCTTGGAGAGGCCAAGAAGAACCTAGATAGAAAAGCCTTGTTGATTTCCCTATTCAGTTTATTAACTTTAGATTATATCCTTTTTGTGCAATCATATATATACATCAACCAGGCTGGAGTGCAGTGGCATGATCCTGATTTACTGCTAACTCTACTTCCTGAGCCCAAGTGATCCTCTCACTTCATGTTCCCCAGTAACTAGGATGCACTACACCTGGCTAGTCTTGAAGTCCTGGTCTCAAGTAATCCTCTGCCATGGCCTCCCATACTGCTGGGATTACAGGCATGGGACACCATTGCTGGCCTTTGTTCAATTATATTTTTATATGACTGTTCATGCTTTCAATTTATAATCTCAGGGCCTATATTTGGAAAAAGTCAAATTAAATATTGATCATTTGTCCAATTTAAAAAAAAAAGAACAAGAATCATTAAAAAGAGCTAAATGGTAATACTAGTTTTGAAAATATTATAGACTATAACATATGTGATAAATAAAGCATAGCCTTGAACTGGAAAAAGAGCAAGGAATTCTCACAGAGAATCCCAGAAAATATAGGAGATTAAAAAAAATCAAAGAGAACTTAAGAGACATGAAGGAGAAAAGAGGATGTGCTAACTTATGGTACTGAGAATCCCTGTTGGAGAAAAAAGATAGAAATAAAGAAATACTTGAAGAAACAATCTAGATAAATTTTTTCAATATCATAGAAAAAGGAAAGATCTCATCTGGGAAAGATTCATATATTACCAGGAGAGGAAAAGAGGAAAAACACACACAAACCTCTGAACCCATTATGTGAATGGTAAGACATCAAAAACAGAGTGAAATTCTAAAGGCTTTCAGATCAGCCACAAAGAAACAAGAATTAAATGTACATCTCATTTCCTAAGAGGAATCAGAGACTGAAGAAGATAATTGAATAATAATTTTAAAGTAATAAAGCAAAGTACTTTACATTTAGGATTTTTAATCCAGCCAAATTGTCATTCTGATGTGACATCATAATATCTTTGGATTTTCAAGGCCTCAGAAGGTTTGTATGTGCAAAAATCCCCCACCCAAATACTCCTGGAAGACAGACTCAATTACCATGAGAAACAAATCTTAGAACTTTCACAAGAGGCAAGGCCAAGCACCTTGATAAAGTTTATTTTTGACTTTTTTTTAAAAAAGGCAGTACAAGCAAAATAAAAAGAGAACATATATTCATAACAATTGAAAATAACTTTCTAGACCAGGTATGTCCGATCTGTGGCCCAGGACAGCTAGTAATGTAGCCCCACAAAATCTTTTAACATCACATGATTTTTTTAGCTTTTATTTTGTCCATGATCCCACATGTAGTTCTTAAAGTTCACAATCATGCCTTATTCATGACATTGCCTTTTGACAGCACATACCTTTGTGAGCAGCTGTTTTCAGTTAGGAGGCACACAAAGAGCAAAATTTGAACAAGCATTTCTGATGAGCACCTTAAGAACTCACTAAGAATTGTGACCACTTCCATCAAACCAGACAATGATGGATTATTTTTACAAAAACAAGGTCAAATTTCCCACTAGTTTTATATTATTCTCATTTTTCTAAACTTTATAATAAAATATAAAAATAAAAGAATTCTTATGTATATGCACTAACTACTGGGAGTGCAAAAAAAAGTATACATATTTTAAGAGGTGCTATCTATGTATATTTTTAGTTTGCCATAATCAGCAGTGTCTGGATGCTGATGGTAACCACTTTGAGTACCTCTTGTAATTGCAGATGTCAAGTGTGACTTGTATTCATCTACAATTTCAATACAGCTTTTTTCCTTTCTTAAAATGTATATAGATTTTTTTTGGCACCCTCTGTATATTATATAATTTATGTGTGGCCCAAGACAATTCCTCTTTATTTGATGTGACCCAGAGAAGCCAAAAGGTTGGGCACCCCTGTTCTAGACAATATCAATGTGGGGTGAGGAGAGAGATCAGAAGCCCATGAGTGGATTGTTAGGTACTTGTCTCATGAAAGTCAGTATGTAATATTGATATGTTTAATGTAGCAATTAGAGTAAATCAATATGGATATGAGTCTTTAAGTTAAGTAAATAGAATGTATTTCTATTAAACCAGAAAAAGAAAACTCTATACAAAGGAAAGTAAGAAGAGAATTTTTTAAAAATAAAGCACAGTAAGTGGAAAAAAATGAAATAAAAGGCAGGAATTAGTCCTAATATAAAAAGCAATTCCATTAAATATAAGTGGATTAAACTCACAAAATAAGGCTAGAGATTTTCTGAGTTTTTGAAAAATTCCAACAAATTGCCTAGAATAAATACATTTTAAAAAGATTTTAAAAGGTTAAAATAAAAGTAAGAAAAATATATCTGACTAGTATAAAACAAAATAAACTGCTACAGCACTCTCAAAAATATTGAACAATATAGAATTTAAGGTTAAATATAACGAGACAAATATATAATAGATACTGATATAAGGCACATTTGAATAAAAAAATTGAATTATCATAGCATATGCATACCTAAATATTTGTTGATAAAACATATCAAGAAATGCTATCAGAAATATAAGGAGAGAAGTAAATCAATAACCATTGCATCTGGAGAGTCACATTTGGATCAAGGACCAATGAGACAAAAGCTAAACAAACAAATCTAAGTTCTAAACCAGATAACTGATAAATCCTAGAATGTATACCATTGTATAATATTTACAAATATATTATATGTTATGGTATATTTACAAGCAGATAAAATAAATATATAACAAATAATTTGTTATATATTTGAGTAAATAAATAATATTTAAATATATATAAAATATGTATTTACATATTTAGAAATTATTTCCACCGTATTACAAATTATAAATATTTAATAAAATACACTCCATATAAAATGTGTACACATACACATTTTTATAACTCTCTACACAAATAAAAACAGATTATATACTTTCTTTGAAATACACGGAATGTACTTATAAAGTAGACCTTGCATAGGTACATAAATGAAGCTTGAAGAAGTTTTTTTTTTTTTTTTTTGAGTTGGAGTCTCACTGTCACCCAGACTGGAGTGCAGTGGCCGCTCCCGGCCACCGCAGCCTCGACCTGCTGGGCTCCGGCGATCCTTCTGCCTCAACCTTCCGAGTAGCTGGAACTACAGGTGTGCACTACCACACCTGACTGATTTTTTGATTTATTGTAGAGATGAGGTTTTGCCTGCCCAGGCGGGTCTCAAACCTGCGGGCTCAGGCAATCCACTCACCTCAGCCTCCCAGAGGCATGGGATTACAGGCTGAGCCACTGAGCCCAGCTTGAAGAAGTTTTAAAGCGTCAATATGATACAGAAGTTATTCTCCAAACATAATGCAATAAAATTAAGAGTGCATAAAAGAAATAACATATTAACATATTCTTATATAAATTATTAAATATATGCTAAAATATTTTTATAATATATGCATTAGTGTTCATATTTCTGGGGCATAGCTAGTATTTAGAGAACAAGTTAATAGCTTTGAATACACTTGTTGGAAAACAAAAGGTGAAAAATTAATGAGCTAAGCAAGTATCCCAAGAAGATGGAACGTGAACAACAGAGCAAGCCCAAAGACACATAAAAGAGGAAAATAATGATGGTGAGGGCTGAAATACATGAAATGGATTTTTAAAATGAGGATCAAGGAAACCCATAATGTATTCTTTGAATGGTTATAAAATAGACATACTTTTATCAAGATGGAGCAAGATAAATGAAGACAACAAACAACAAATTGAAGAAAAAGAAGAAAATAACCACACACTCAATCACAAAGATATTTTAATAAATAAATCATGAATCATATCTTGTTATTTTAAATAATAAAGTACCCAAATTCCTAAGATTATGTAAAATATCAAGACTGGCACAAGAAGTAATAGATTTGAATAGATTAATAAAATGGAAAACTTGAAATGTTAGAGAAGATCCAATCTCACAGAAATTTCAAGAGTCAGGCGGTCTTGCAGGTATCTCAATCTTTTAAGAAACATTTGATTCATATTTTATATAAGATGTTGCAGAAAATAGAGAAGAAGCAAAAGCTGCCCAGGTCATTTGAAAAGGCTGGTGTCATCTTCATCTCAAAACCAGTTAAGTGTAAAGCAAAAAAATTATAAAGCAAAAAAAAATGATGCATATGGAGTCAAAGCCAAAATAAATATTAACCAAGTGAATTCAACAATATATTAAAAAGCAATGTATTGTTTTCAGGTGGAGTTTTATCCCAGGACCAAAAAGATTGTTCAAGTCTAGAAAATCTATTAATGTAAATGAGTGCAATTAATAAACTACAGGTGAAAATGTCAAACAATGCAGAAAAAGTTTTTGGGAAGATTCAACACATTTATAGTATATGAAAAAATTTTAATAAGATAGAAGTAGAAAAATAAAAGTAGGTAAAGATTGTACACCAATGACTACAATAAATATTACTAAGTGGTGAAAGTATAATTCAAATTCAAATACAGCTCCTACTAATGCTTATTATAGTATTAGAGGTTCTGGTCAATAGTAGAAGATAGAAAAATAGGTAACCAGAGAGTAAATTAGAGGAGAAGAGGAGGAACTGTCACAATTTGCAGATGATGGGATCATTTACCTGGAAAAAAATAAGCAGAAATGACAAACTATTATATCTCACAAGGGAGTTTAGTACGGCTGTCAGGTACAAAACCAAATGACAAATACCACAAGTAGTTCTCTATGAAGAATAACCATTTAGAAAAATCTAAATAAGAGACTATTCATTTCAGCAGCAAAATCTATAAGGTTTCTAGGATGAATTAATTTAACCAAGACCTCTCTGGAGAAAACACTAAAATGCTAAGAAAAGACAAGCGATTTGAACCAATAGAAATAATCCATGATCTTGTATGAGACAATAATATTATAAACATGTCAATTTCCTGCAAAATAAAAAGTCTGAAATATAATCCCAAACACAACTTCAGTTTACTTGTTTTAAGTATTTGATAAATTTACTTGTAAATTATATGGGAACAGAAGATGCATACCTTGCTAAGTCAATCATGAAAGAGTAAAGATAGAAAGGAAGGACTTGCCTGACAAATATTAAGTAATACAACTGATAACTGTGTGGTGCTGGTGCGAGAACTGATAAATGGAACAAGTGAACAAGTGAATTCCAGACAGTCTCTTGTATATTAAGGAATGAACTTTATGAGTAAGATAGCACCATCAATCAGTGGGGGGAAGGACCCATTATTTGGTAGACATCTTTGAGAAAATGGGAGGAATATAATAAAAAGTAACCTAATAAAACAACAACTGGATCCATACCTAACAATATGCAAATGAATTCCAGATGGATTCAACTTATATATGTAAAAATTAAAATTATTTTGCTAATAGATTATTACTGCAGATGACCATCTGTGTGACCTAGAGGTAAGAAAGGACTTTTTACACGAAACTTTATAAACACAAATTATTTTTAAAATTAATTTCATTACCTCAAGATTGAGAAATTCTATTCGATGAATAGCACTGTAGGAAAAGTTATCAAACAGATGACAGACTGGGAAACATTAATTGAAAATGTCTAAAACTAACACAGCAATAATATCTGTGATACACAAGGAATTAATGCCAATCAACAAGAAAGAGACTGGAATCTCAGTGGAAAAATGGGTAAAGTATGTGAAAGACAGTTTATAAAAGAAGTAGAAAAGGCATTCAAGTGATGTTCACACTCAACAATTGAGAAAATTTCCATTAAAACAACCAGGCAATCCATTTTCCACCAGAAAAGTGGGGATGGTTTAAAGTGCGCAGTGACAGTAGAGGGGGTGGCACACAGGAACCCTGATGATGAAGCACGAGAGAGCTTAATGTGTTCCTTGTTCCCTGATGGCCTCACAGATGTGAAGGAGGGGCCTCTTAGGATTCAGAGCCAAGAGCATCTTCAGGATCAGCCAAGATATCACAGTTGAGGAAATGAGGCCCAGAGACTGCACAGGACCTGACACTTAGAAACAGAGATAGTACATAGAACTTAGAACTAGGCCTCCTAACCACTGATCCTGAAAGTCCTCCCTGATTCCCTCTGTATGGCTGCCACCCCTGGCCTGCCTAGCTCTAATTCTGGGGACTGTCCTTTCCCAGAATTATGCTTTTCTATTCTAGACTCAGTAGCCTTCTGCTTCTGGGCCATCCCGATGGCCTTGTCCATTCTGACCTGGTCAGAGAGAGTTCCTGCTTCCTGGCTCTAACCCTTCCAAACCCTGAACTTTAATGCCTTGCTCTTTCTCTGGTCGGTCTTTACTTCCAGGCAAGTCTCCTCGGTTTCCTATGACCTCATCACCTTTCAGTCCTGGAGACCCCTGTGGCCCCTGTTTCCCACCCTTGTGCATAGTCAGTTCACAGTGGGGTCCTTATACAAATAGCTCCAGCCACAAGGGGTCCGACTCAGGGACATCACAGAATCAGGTGACATCCCAGCCCAAGTATCCTCCTTTCTCCTTCTTCCCTGCAGGAAATCAAGAGCCCCTCCCTGCCTTGGTTCAAGTGTCCCCAAACTCCTGGTCTCTGTGCTGTGTGGACTCCTCATGGCCAAGGACCTGGTGTTGTGAGTCCTGTTAGTACTCCTGACTTGCAGGTGCCAGGTGAGCGGGGCCTGGAGTTGGCCTGGGGGACAGTGGAGCTGGGACCATATTCTGTTTCAAGAAAGATGACCAAAAAGTAGCCAGAGTACAGAAGCAGGAAAAATTATAGCTGAGTCTCATTTAGATATGCATTATTTCTCAAGATCTCTGCCTTCCCTCGGAAATGGAGCTTAGAAAAAGACAGTGGTTTTCTCAGAGCCCCCATACCTGACTGCCTCAGTCTCTGTCCTGAGAGTACAAGGGGCAGGAAGAGAAACCTGAGAGTGCCTGCATAGCTTCAGGGGATAGAAAGAGGTGAGGCTGGAAGCAGGTAACAGGGAGAAGGGAGGGGAAGAGGAAGACAGGTAACAGGGACAGGGTAAGAGAAAGGAGTAGAAGAGAGGGTCTGGGAATGTGTTCACTTCTGCTTATGAATTTCTTCCTTATCTCCTCCTTAGGGTCATAGCCTGCCACGGGGACAGCAGTAATGGAGGTTTCTGATTCTGTCAGCCCAGTACAGACCCAGAACCCTTGGGTGTGTTTAACTTCATCGGTGGATCCAGGATTGAAACCAGCTCTACATCCCCATAGAATTAATAGTTTCAGTTTTTTTGAATAAGCATAGAAATCTACTCTCTTGGTTTTAAAGTTTGAAACTTACATTTGTCTTATCTGAGTTTCTTTCTCAGGAAACAGACTCTCACATCTATAGAATCAAGGAACTGAAATTTGCCAGATCACCACATCCAGACAATAAGATGCCAAACCCTGCCTGTTTACCAACTTCTCTTCCTTTATCCACCCCACCAATTCCTGTTTTCTGTATTCCTGCCACTATATGAATCCCTGATTTTAATGGGACAAGGAGACAGATTTGAGACAATCTCCCATTCTTCTTTGATGATACTTCCGAAATAAAAAGACTTCTTCCCTGGCAATACTTGTTTCAGTGATTGGCTTTCTGTGCAATGAGCAACAGGACCCTGACTGAACCCTTCGTGTTTTGGTAACAGGATGAATTCCCCTTTCTCTTTGTTCTGCCCAGCTATTGGGAGCCACCCTAATCATCAAGTCCTACGGCCTGTGAGGAAAGGCCAGTACTCTAGCCTGTTGGACATGATTGCTGGCTCCTGAAGTCCCCTGTGGTGGCCCCTCACCCTAGCACTGAACCTTCTTAGATCCATTTCTGCAGTGCTGACCTTCCCCCAAGTGGATTACTCCTGGGAGGTTTACCTGCATTTCGGTCAACACCCAGCTCAGGATATTCTTCAATTGTGCTCCTACTCCTTCTCTCCAGGATGCCCTCATTCTCCCAGACTTGCCTCAGCTAGGCACCAGGATGCCTCATACTTTCCTGTTTCTTGCTTCTGCATATCTGAGAGGCCTATGTATTTCCTCTTGTGGCTCAATTCAAGTCCCTGGAATTAAATGTGTCAGGGCCACCTGAACAAGATGGCAGACGTATCTCCTTCCTCCTCTCCTACCCCAGATATCCTAAATGAAATTAAAATAACTTGAAAATAATTGATAAAATTGAAACTAAGAAAGGCTAAAATCAGCAGACTGATTAAAAAACAGATCAGATGCATTAAAATGACAAGAGCAGGTGACTCAGCAGCTCAAAACAGGAGCTCAAAACATCCATCCATAAATAAGATCTGACAATCAGGGTCCAAAATTTTGGGTTTAACATGTGGAGAAATTCATAGCCTATAGGAGGAAATCAAGTTGAACAATTAGAATTAAAAGAATTATTATAAAATTATTCTAATTGTTCAACTTGATTTCCTTCCTTAGGCTATGAATTTCTTCACATGCTGAAGAAACACTCATGCTGAAGCCACCACAGATGTTGTGGCTAAGCCTTTAAATGTTTAAGGGAACAGAAGAGGAGATCACATCCATTAAATAAGAAAAGATCAGTCACATTCAGAGCAGGTAACATCCAGTAATGCCTTGGGTTGGCCACTCAGAAAGGGGGTCCACCATGAACAAACAGCTAATATGGGATACCACTGCATAGCAGCTGAATACCAGCCCTGAAAAAGGCCACTATGAAGAGAGCACTCAATATAAAACAGAAACCATTATTTTCCTTTTTTTGTGGAGGAGAGGAATGACAAACAGAAGTTTCTTCATGTATATCTCAGTTGATAGCACTTGACTATCACCTTTCTGTGTGAGGCACCACTGTTACTCCATTTTTAATTTATGTTTTAAATCCTCATTTACTATTTCGACTTGCCTCCCCCTTCAAGGCAACCCTCTAATGCATTTGGGATGTAACCTTAAATCTGAATGTATCTGAATGCATGCAGCACTTTTTTCTGTGACTATATTTTAACTTACATAGAAGAAATTGTGACATATCTTTTTTGTATACTTTTTTTTTTGCCTTTGCCGGGTGCATACATACATACATACACCCAACTCATTGCTTTTTGGTGCTGGAGTTTATTCCATTGTGTGTGTCTCCCATGGTGCATCATTCAAAGTTTAGGGTGCATACGTTGTTTTGCCTTCATAACTCCATATTGCATGCAATGCGTGATGAATGTCCTCCATTATAGTCTCTTGTGGAGTCATTTGAAACTTTCTTTAGAATTGATGCTCAGATAGGACTTGCCAGGTTGTAGGATCTCAGACATTGAATTAATACTGTCAGCTTGTGTTGCCTAAACTACTAATCTAGACAACTAGAGAGTATGTGATTTCTGTGACTCTATGTCAATAAAAAAGTGGAAGGTGAGAAAAAAGTGTAGCTGAGTGATGGTATAATTAGCTAGAAGTACAATTATCTCTATGCTTGGAAATTTTTATTAAAATAATTTATAAATATAAACACTCATGCTGAAGCCACTGCAGATGTATGTGGCTAAGCCTTTCTTGATTTATTAAACTTATGCAACCACAATAAATTAGAACAAAGTCACTTACAGTATAGAAATATTGAGGTTCACGTAAAGAACACTAGTAGTGGGTAAAAACAGACTGAACAAAAATGCATCTGCCTCAGTCGAAATGCTAAGAGCTAGCATTTAGCTATAACTTTGAAATATTTTATCTTAATATCCTTTGTCTCAAAATTGTCTCGATTCCCTTTACCACTATTTTCAACTTTGTGGTGAATTCTATGTCATAAGATAATGTTTCAGAGAGGTCTATTTCTTTAAAATTTTGAACATTTAACATCATTTCATTATCTTCAGTGTTGCTATGGAAATGTCTGATAACAATCTGTTATTTGTTCATCCTAATTGACCTATTTTACATCTCTGGAACATTTTGTAATTTTCTCCTTGAAATTTTTATTGGAATATGTTTAATATGGGACATTTAATTATCCATTCTATTTGGAACTCTCTGAACACATTCAACCTGATGTCTTACGAGAGGGGATCCTCCCAAAATTGGAATTTGCTTATAAAAAATTTTGAATTTATTCTTACATGTTTAAACTTCAGTCACCTTTAAAGTACTCTCCATTTAATGCAATACACTTATCGAAATTGGTGAGAACAATTTTTGAGCATGCTAATTTTGATGTCTTTTAGTGCTTCGGCCGTTTTTTGTTTCACCTCTTCCACATCAGCAAGATGTTTCCCTTTGAGAACTTTTTTCATTGGGGAAACAACAAAAAGTCTCTCGAGGCAAGATCAGGTGAATAAGGAGGGTGGGGCAAGGGGTCATGTTATTTCTGGTAAAAAAAAACTGTTGAATACTCAGTGTGGTGTGGGCAGGTGCATTGTCATGGTGGAAGAACCAGTCACCTGTTTGCCACAACTCGGGAAGTTTCTTCCTCGAATCTGACATAACCTTTTCAAAACTTCCAGATAAAAACTTTGGTTGACTGTTTGATCCAGAGGAACAAATTCTGAATGTACTACCAGGGGGCCACCCTTCAGAAGATAATTCTGGATTTTTGGAGTCTCCCCTTGTATATATTTCTTTAATTATGAGAAATTTTCAATGCAAATTTTTTCAGAGCTCCTCTCCTCCATTTATTCTCTTTTTATCCTTCTGGGAGATGTTGACCTATGTCTATCCTCAATACTTCCTAATTTTTCTCTTACCCTTTCTGTTACTTTATTGATGCTAATGCCTTTGGGGAGCATTCCTTGACTCTATCTTTCCCACACCCAATCATTCTTCTGCTAGTCATTCCAGTTACTAAAAACAACAGGATAATGCTTAGGAGTTGGTAGAGCTATGACGTAAGCCTAAGGATTGTCCTACATTTATTCTGCTGGTCCTTTTATTTTTATTTATTTTTTTGTCTAAAAAGTTAAATACAACACTTCAAATGATACAGAAGTAGACAAAGAAAGAATAGTCACCCTCCACTCTCTCACACAGTTTGGTCTGTATCCTTTCAGCATTTTTTTTCACTTGCTGTATATCAAGAGATATTTTATATCTATGAATACATTTAAATCTACTTCATATTTTTTTGTCCAGGTCATAGTGTTTCAGAGTATGAATAAATCAGAATGAAATTCTGCATTTACTGATGGACATTTGGGCTATTTCCAATCGTTACAAATAAAGCTGTCTTACATATCTTTAAAAAATAAAAAAAGAAATATTTCAACGATTACCCTTTTCAAAATTAATCTTTTTTATTTTTCATTATTGTCTGCTTCCATTTCAGTCTTCTAATATTATCCCTTATCTCTGTGAGAATTCTTAATATGCTTATTTTAAATTATTGTTGCCCCATTAGTTCTGCTTAATCTGTAATAGATCATTTAATTTATTCCTTTATAAGAACTTTGTTTAGCTTGTTATCTTTTAAAATAACACTTGGTAATTTTTCTTATGTTTTCATCTTTTATTCCTCCCTCCCTTTTTGAGGATCAGTAAATCACTGTAGATTTCACCTCTAAGGATGACCCCAAAGTGAATAGAGGTTATGAGTCTATCAAAAACAGTCCAAATATATAGATACATTTACTACAATACCTCAGTGATTTTATTTCACACATAAA